TGCCTTTCCTTCACTAATGGGAATACGTCTCTCTCTGAGCCCACGGTCCTAAGCAGATCCACTTAGCGGAATGGCAGAGGCTGCACTGTCAATTGTATTTCTTTCGTTTCCTCCTCCCATCCCCAAGATTAAGTGCTCTGTCACTGTGGGTGGGGTGTTTCATCTTACAGCCTAGGTAAAAATCAATAGAGGATTCAACAGCCAGGCTTGAACATCAGCAAATGCTGGGATTTGACTTGGGGCTATCTGAATGGAAACCCAGCCATGGCTTACTAGAATTACTGGGGCTGCCAGCCCACAGCCGGTTTTTAACTCCAGCAGCTTCACAACCAGAACTCAGTCCAATAGTCAATGACCTTTCAGTTTATCCAGAGCTCTAATTAGGATCCACTTGTCTTTCAGCCCTTTGAGGATTGCCAGGGGTGGTTCTGTACAACACTGAGCAATAATACAAGATTCAAATTTGTCTCTGTATGGAGGAAGCTTAGTGTTGGCTAATGCCTACAGGTACCAATACATTTCTTTTCTCAGTCACTACTGAGCCTGGCTTATCTAAATGTGCTCGTAATCAAACCTATAAGAATTTGGCTGTTTTCCTAGCATTTGTCTTCAAGCAAATGCTAGGTCAACTTCTTCACACCTCTCCCTCCACTCCCTCCTCGAGCCCCTGCAGACTAGTTTTCGCCCTCTTCACAGCACAGAGACAGCACTAGTCAAAGTCACAATTGATATTCGATTTGTGACCAGAGCTCCCTCGGCCTACTCATTTTCCTGATCTCTCTGCTGCATTCGAAACCTTCGACCACGCCATCCTCCTCCACCTCCTCTCCTCCCTCATCCACCTTAGAAGGACCGGACTTGCATGGTTCAAATCCTACTTAACCAACCGCCTCCATTTCATATCAGCAAATGGTTTCTGCTCCTGCCACCACCTGGGCACCTGTGGGGTACCCCAGGGCTCCATCCTTGGCCCTCTCTTTTCCTTATTTATATGCTCCCTCTGAGCAATTTCATCCGCAGACACAGAGTAAACTTCCACATGTATGCTGATGACACAAATCAACTTTTCCTCCTCCAGTACCAACTTCAGGTCCATCAATGTTCTATCGGCTTGTCTGGCAGACATCAGGGCCTGGATGAGTGTAAACTTCCTGCAGCTGAATATGGACAAAATGGAAGCCATACTCCTTGGCTCCCATTAACACCTTATAATAATAATAATCCTTGCATTTGATATAGCGCCTTTCACGTCGGGAGGATGTCCCAAAGCGCTTCACAGAACACACTGTAAAATGAATTGACTGTATATTTGTAGGCGAACGCGGCAGCCAATTGCGCACAGCAATGTCCCACAAACAGTCGTAGATTGAAAATGACCAATTTATTATTGTTTTTGGTTTTGGAGGGATTATTATTAGGCGTGTGGAGTAAGGAAACTTGCCCAAGGTTTTGCCCTGCCTGGAATTGAACTCTGGTCTCTCGCTTGCAAAGCGAGTGCTCTAACCACTGAGATACAGGACTCCACCTTCACTCCCCCAGATCTAAACTCCTCAATCTCTTTGGGCTCTCCCTCAGATTCACCGAACCAGTGCACAATCTAGGCATGCTGTTTGACCCCCAGCTGTTCTTCCTCCCCCACATCCGGTCCCTGACCAGGACCCCCTTCTTCCACCTCCACCACATTGCCCACCTCTGACTAAATCTTAACCCAATTGCAACCGAAACCCTTGTGCATGCGTTTGTCACCTCCCGTTTGGATTACTCCATCACACTTCTCGTCTGTCTCCCCAGACACCGTCTCCCCAAACTCTGGAACACTCTCTCTCAATCCCTCTGCCTTGCCCGCGCTCTCCCTTTATCAAATCCAACCTGAAAACCTTTCTCTTCAACAGTGATTATAGCCACCTCTCCCCCCACCCCGGCTCGGAGGAATCAGGCTCCGCCACTGTTAAGTGCTCTGAGACGCTACACTGCGTGGAAGGCACCATATAAGTGCATTGATGTTGTTGTTGTTGAAGGCAGCTTCCTATGGAATAGACCTCTACATGTGAGATCCATTTGTCCTCCAAATGTTAGACCATTGCAAGAAAACGAGACCCAAACCATAGACTCCCCTTGACCTGTACCGAATACTTTCCGGAATTAGGTAAGGAAGAGAGTGTGCATTCCACTCCAACAGTTTATCTCTGGGATTTCCACATGTAGGTGCGATACATGGAATTCTCAGCTTGGTTTGGATACTCTTTGACATGCTGATGGGTTTCTGTATGTGTCAGATTAGCTTTTTGGTCAGCTTAGCTGATCAAAAAAGGGGGGAAAAAAATTATAGCCAAACAAAGGCAAATATATTTTACTGAATTCTGAGAGTATTTTAAGTGGTTATTATCATCATCATAATATATGGTGTGGGTGGCTCCTCTGCTGGACAGGAATGGTATTTTGGCTAACCTCAGACACCACTCAAGAAGGTGAAAATGGCCATCCCTGATGTGTCTGGCTTAACCAGCTTCCACTATATTTTAAAGCATACAATTTCAATAAAAATACATTTTTAACTTCTCTGATGGTTCAGCAATGTACTTAGTGTGTAGCTGTGCCTTGGAGACTATGATGGCCCCAGATTTAATCCTGGGCCTACACAGAGTTATGTGATCAGCGCTGGAGAGATGAGATGCATGTTAGATGCATACTCTCAGTGTGCACTTGTGAGAATAGGTTCCAGCAGCGATGTGTTGTGAGTCTGTTTGTTAAATTCTGAAAACGGTATGAAGTTGCTGCTTACTTTACAGACTGATATTAAGGGTTTCAGGACCGAACAGACCAGTCTTGTAATAATAATAATAATATTCCTGGCATTTGATATAGCTCTTTTCACTTCTTCTAGACGTCTCAAAGTGTTTCATACAATATACTTTAAAGTGAATTAACCGTATATTTGTGGGCAAAATGCTGCAACCAATTGCGCACAGCAGTGACCCACAAACAGTCGTGGATTGAAAATGACCAATTTATTATCGTTTTTTTGGGAGGGATTATTATTAGCAGCAGCATAGGCAATGGCACATTCTGTTGATTACCAGAAACACTATCTGCTGTCCTGCTAATTCTGATTACTTGTAGATTGCTAATTTATCTGATTGCTATTTATGACACGATGCTCACTGTAAGTTATTTAGCGAAGAAGCACTTTTGGTTGTGCTTTGTTGACTGATAATTAATTTGCATCACATTTTAATCAGTTATAACTTTTTTCCCAAAAAAAGACAGCACTTCTTTCTCCTGGGCAACGTTGAAGAACATAAGAATTTAAAATGCATCATCCTGTCCACGTGTCCCTGTGATTACATCTCTCTGATTCAATTTTCATTTCAATGTTTGAATGTTATTTGAGTAAATGTTATTGGACTGAAAATCCAACTGAGCGCGAGCTGGTTTGAAATTGACAGGCAAGACCTTTCAAAAAGAAGAATTGACTCTTTATCCTTTATTGTTATCTTAACTTTTCCAGTCGTGTCTGATTACATGAAACCGTTTGACTCGGCCTAGTTCAGTTGGTAGCATTTTTCCTCTGATTCAGAAGACTGTGCGTTCGAGCCCCAAGTTGTGGCTTTGAACTTGTACAGTCTGGGCTGACACTCCAATGCAGTGCTGGGGGTCGGAAGGAGATTCCGTCCTTTGGATTAGGTCTCATCTGCTTGTTCAGGTGGACGTTTAAGATCCTTTGGCTCTATTCAAAAAGAGAAGGGAGTTTTTCCTGGTGTCCTGACCAACAATTCCCCCAAATAAAATTATTTATTTACTTCATAGTCGTTTGTGGAACATTGATGTGCACAAATGAGCTATCACGGTCAACTACAAAAGACATGGTCTTTTACAGTACATCCTGTGCAGTGCTTTGAGACATCCTCCTGACATCCTCCTGATATGTTTAATGTAGGAATTATTTATTTATTATATTCNAAAAAAATGATCTGTTGGACTAGATTTTGTTAGGAGCAGTTTATGCCACACTTCTATAGCAATTGAATGCATGAACCTACACTTGGTGCCAATCACATGCAGTAATACAAAAGCAATTCATGCTGGAGCCTCAGAACACGTGGACATGATCCACTTTGGTGTAGATGCAGCCTGATCCAATTCATTCAGATAAATGGTATAGGCATTATGTCCCTCAGCAAAATCTTGAATCTCAGGCTGGGGTGAATGTGGAGGCAAGGAATGCCAGAGAGTGGCTTGAAAAAAAATTAAAAGTATAAAAACGTAAGTTATGAATCATCTTAAAATTGCTAAGAATTGCACCCTCCCATAATTTTAACAAAAAGAATAATAGCACTAAATCGCTTCAGAAAAAGTGAGGGAGAAATTATTCTCCTGAAGTATGCTGGTTACCCCAGTTTCGCCTCAAATGGGTTGTTAAGGACAGAATATAAAATGATTTATTTAAAGTCCATCACATGCCACATTTTATCCCTCCCCATATTCTGATATATTACACGCTGTATTTCTTTGCTCCCTAAGATTAATTGTCCCCTCAACAATGCACCATTGTCTGAGTTTTGTTACTCCTATTTCAGCTCATTTCACATTAGCTCATCATTGTTCCATTATCAATTTGGTTGGATTAGTATAATGTTACTATTTAATGGCAAGAACTCAGTTTTCTCTCAGGACAGATATTCCTGTGGATCCTAAGAGAAATACAAAGTTACATTTGTATAGTGCCTGTCACGTCACGAGGATATCCCAAGGCGCTGATTGTTTGAAAATGTACACATTCTGTGGTATGATAGACCAATTCTTGAAAGGCTTAGCATTCCTTAAAACTCCTTTGCGAGTGCAAGGAGGAGGCTTCACTGTCCACAAATAGCAAGTGACAAATTGCAGCTCTTTTTCTCTTAACTGCTCCCTTAGAACGATTCTAGCTTTGCCAGTCTGTGGTGAAAACAGTTTCAATTATTGCCATAACATTAATAATGTTTCCTCTCATACCCCTGTAGATACGGCCAGAAGAGATGAAAGAGAATAGTTTCTGGGCAAACACAAACGAGGAGAAGTTTGAAAATCCCGAACTTTTCACCAGGCTTTCTCGCATTTTCTCTTTGCAGACGAGGGGTAAGGACCTTGTATCAGCCATTGTGTTAATATGTGCAGGTTGCTTTCCATTCCTTTAATGTGTTCTGACTGATTGCTTTGTCCTCTAGTCTTTCAAATAAAGTGGCAGAGAGGGGTGGTAGTTTGGCATGTAAATAAAGGAATGGAGGCACCGATTAACATTCATTTGGTCTGTTCAGGTATGGGGCTACCATAAAATTTGCAGCAAAACTTCAACATAGTTTGGCTCTGGATCCCAGTGTTCTTAACGGAGATCAGAATCAATGGACATTCATGGGTCTGACCTTTTCTTATTGTTAAAACAGCAATCGTTGAGGCTGCTTTGAAACCGTGTCTAAAAGTGAGTAAACTACAGGGATATGGGGAAAAGGCAGGTAATCAGGACTGAAATAATTGCTTTTTAAAAGAGCCAGGACAAACACGATGAGGCAAATGGCCTCCTGTGCAGTAAATTTCTCTAGTTCTAATCATTATCACTTACTCTCATCTCCTGAACAACATGTAATACATACAATATCAAAAAAAGTTAATATACTGCAGGAAGTTCACTCGGAGTTTGTTCAAAATCTTCTGCCCACTTTACAATTAATGTTGCTTCTGTTTCTTTTGAACCTTTTTCCTTTTTTACACTACTTGCGCATAAAGATAGACATCTACCTGTAGTGACTAAGACCTTTGTGGTGGTGTGGGTTTTCAAAGCCACTCTTTCTAAAGCAATGTGTTTTTCTGTGATCAGTGTTATCTTGCAAAATGATTTATAGCATTTGTGGTTGACTGGAGCTGCTGGTACGGACAGCAATCTTTTTATAGACTTTGAAATAAGTAAACTTCAGGCTCTGAGTGGACCGTCACAATGTTTTTTTAAATTGAGAAACCTTGGTTATGAACAAGGGATCACATTACAGTACACACCCCACCTTGGCTCTCATTCCCAGCTTGGGTACCCAGCCAACAACTACAATATTACATTTGTATAGCACCCTTCACATCGGGAGGACGTCCCAAGGCACTGGACAGTTAGTGTTTCGGACCCGAGCTGGTGGGTCAGGATTGAAGAGGCTGAAGGGCAGGGGGGGGAATCAGGGTGATCGAAAGCGCAGTTGAAGAGGAGGGTCTTGAGATAAGTCTTGAAGGAGGCAAGGGAGAGGCCGTCGTGGGGGTCCTGCGGAATGGAGTGCCAGAGGGTAGGGTCAGAGTGGCAGAAGGCCGCCCGTCAATGTGGGGCAGTCGAGGCGAGAACATGAAACAAGTGGTTTAGGATGGCCTCCTGACATGAAAGGCGCTATATAAATGTACATTTGAATTGTAACAGCAGGGTTGAACCAAAATGGAAGAGGAAATGAGGTTGAGACAAAGTCCAAACTCGTTATTATGTGGTTGTTCTTAAAATGAGACCCCGTGTTAGAGCAGGGTGTTTTATAGAGCTGCCTCTGGCAACTACTTCAGGGTTTGCTGCTTGTATCACTGAACCTGCTGTGCTTGTGTGTTGAGCAAGGCATCCAAATGAGCCCACCCTATCCTATTCCCCTTCTTCTTTTCCTTTCTCCTTCATCGTGCACTATGCTTTATCCAAACCGATAGCTTTTTGAGGAGCACTAAATGGAACTCGACTGTGTTGCTGGATGGGGTCAATCTTCAGTTTGTAACTGAAGATCGGCCCCGGCCTTCAACTTGCCTACTCCCTCCGTTCAGTGGGTTCCGGACTGCTCCATGTCTCCCGCCCAACCTGCCCTACCATCGGTGGCCGGGCTTTCAGCCTCTCTGCCCCCACGGTCTGGAACTCCATCCCACAATCCCTTCACCTCGCTTCCTCCCTTGCCTCCTTCAAGGCCGGTCTCAAGACCCTCATTTTCGATCGTGCCTTCGGTTGGCCTCCCACCTCTCTGCCTTCCCTAACCCCTACACCACCCCTCCTCCATGCTCGGGTCCCGCCCCTGACTTGGGCATCCTCCCGACGTGAAAGGCCCTCTATAAATGTAATTTTGTTGTTGTTGTAACTTTATTGATTGAAGGAGGGAGGAAGTGCTGCGAGTGCACTTACATGCATACACACACAAATACACACAATACGTGCAAAAGGTTGGGGTGAAGACTGCAATGTCTTGGTGCTATTTTAGTAGACACAATAGTTGACAAAGGGATTAGTCATGTGAATTATTGACTGCTCTGTGGGTGTGCTAGTTCCGGCCACTTCCCAAAGCCATTCACTGTACTTGAGCCCGAAAGCCTGCGACGTTGGTGATTGGACTATTGTTTGATGGATCACAGCATTGGACTGCAGGTTAGAGGGATACTGTCTGAGCACAAAAATACAGTAGGAATAGTATCTTGCAAACTGGCATTCAAATTTATTTACATGGAGGCCTGTGTACTCTGATCACCTGTATGTGGACTCAACGTGTCCTTGGATGTATTCAGAATGTGATCTTGGGAAATTTGGTGCCACGAAACTAGTTGCTTTTCAATGGGAGTTGCTGCCTGTTGCTTCATCTCTCCACCTCTCCCTCTTCCATAAATTGCTTCAGTTGTTTGTCAATTCATGGATATCATTGAGATGGAGTATAGAGATTGTCAAACTCGAGAGGAATGTGTGCAGCCAAGGAATCTATGACGACTCAATGTGTCTACGTTTATAAAGATTTGTTTGCCAGCGTATGGAATTGCAAGCGCTCCTGAATGCTACCCCGCGTGAATGGCGCTCTATAAATGCAAGTTGTTGTTGTGTATACATCCTCCTCTACTCGCATCCCAGACTTTGTTAGCGTCAGCAGCAGTAACCATATGAATCCATTACACCACAAAATTGTTACCTCCCTGTTACTCTCCCCCTTCATCCTCCACCAATTTAAATTAAAATGTTTAGTTAAATTTTCCTTGCACGCTGAGGAAATTTAATTTTGCCTGTAAAATCACAGAGCATTATACATATATGTCTGGTATTCTCATCCCTGATGTCCAGTTCAGTATAAATGTTTTAAAGATTAAAATGCAGATGATGTACAATTGACTAGATTTTGAATATACTTTACCAAAGGGGGTGAATAATAATCATACTAGTAATAATCCTTACATTTGGTATAGTCACTTCACAAAGCACTTCACAGGATGTTCTGTAACTTGCAGTGACTGTGGTTTTTGGGCAAACTCATTGGTCACAGTTGAAACTAATTGCTGCAGAAAGAATCATTTTGTGCTTACAAGGTTGTTGTTGAGTAAAATTTGCGGGAGTCTTAAATCATTCCTTGTGTTAAATGAGGAATAACTGATGACTAGCAATAGGTGGAACAGTCTCTCCAGTGAAGTGGAATCACCCTCTTCCAGATTGCCCAACTCTTGGTGTTTTGAATTTCACATTTTTAAAAAAAGTGCAATGTTTAGTCACTGGCAATGTTTAGTAACTTAACTGTTCTTGATTGTTCAATATACTTTATCAGAATAAAGAGAGACATTTGCACTGCCCAGGTCAGAATTAAGTTTTGAGCGATCATTGAGCTGAGATCTGCAAAGGAGTGCTCTACCTACTGGTAGATATCGATGTTCCTTATTTAACCCAAGAAACACTTGCAAATGACCTCAAGTTTTACCCTAATGTGAGAAATACAATTGCAAAACTACATTGGGGTCTGCACATGGCTATTAGTGTTTGACATCAACATGCTTTTCCTCTTGTCAGCAGGGCACAAAGTACCTCCAAACTCCCATGCAAGCCAACAGAAGGCATTCATGAGCCTTTTGCCCTTCTTTTATTACCTTCTCCCTTCCCTATTGCAGTCACTTCATTATTAATAATAATGGTTGGCCAGGACCAGGGGAAACCCGCTGCTTTTATCAAATAGTACCATGAGATTTTTAGGGTCTACTTGAACAAGCAGACTGGACCGAATCCAATCAATGGAATCTCCAACAATGAAAGAAATCCTCAACAGTAGACACATAACTGCAGGTATCTGCCTCAATCTTCCGCATCCTGATACAAACCTAATGGTTCCACATCCTCAAGGCTAGACAAGCTTGAAAAATGGCTTCAAACTGCAGAGAATTGGTACTAAATGAACAAAATTTTTTTTTGATTTTTTTAAACCAATAATCTATCAAGGCTCATTCTTCTGTTAGTACACTTGAGATACATTATTCAAACATGAGATTATAAGTGCTCTACAAACTGTCTCCTGTGAAGTACAATGTGTGGGAATTTGCAGTCTACAAGTGACGTCTAATGTATCTTTCAAACATACCATGTCATTGATTTACTGCAGTGTCTGTAAGAGCTAAATATACATCATAAATCCCTTCAAAACTTACCTCATTTTAATCATTTGTCTCCCTTCGATTGAACAATACTAAATTCTCTCATTTATTTCTCCTAAATTTCTCCCACGCAATTTGACGTCGTCATTTCAATTCTATTAGCTTGCTTGTTCCATAAACAGACACAAGCATTGAAGAACAGCAATTTGTACTAAAACCTTTCATGTACAATGAACATCTTGAAGTGCTTAATTATGATGGAAGGTACCAAGAAGGGCGAGTTAGGAATGTTAACAAATGGCATACTAGAATTCATTTAACAATAATCCTTGCATTTGATTTTCAAAAATATCATATCGTCAAAACATTTCAACGCGCTTCAGAATTTTTTTTACTGTGAAGTGTAATATCTGTTATTTTTGCAATCAATATATTAGAAGCAGAGCTTTGAAGAATTTTTTTTTGATCTATTCAGTTTAATAAATGGAAATGTTCGGGACTCTATGTTAGACTGGGGCTGAGGTTTTAGGTCAGGGATCGCCAACCTATGGCCCACGAGCTGGAAGTGGCCCATGGGGCCCGTAAAAGAAGCAGCCCCCAAACATTTGCACAAGTCCAGGTAAAAAATCTGTCTTTGATCTGCAGTGTGTGTTAATTTTTTTTCTTGATTGAATTTTTCTTTATTTATGCCATAAATAAATATTCAATCAAGAAAATTCATTTTGTTGCACATCACTGCTGTAGCTTAACTC